GTAAGGTGGAGGGTCACAGAAAAAGAGGAAGATCCCCAATGAGATAGATTGGGCATGTGGCAGCATCGATGGACTCAAGCGTGACAACAGCAGTGAGGTTGGCCCAGGATTGGGTAGTTTTTCGTTCTGCTGTGCATAAGGTCACTCTGAGTCAGTACCGACTCAATGGCACCTAACAACAACAAGTTTTGCTTCTCTAGAGAACCTTGCAAAAGACAATTGCCCACACCAGAACCTGAACTAGACAAACTCTGATGCAAATTTCTAAACCCTGAACCTGAACCCCTAAAGTATAAAACCAAGAAAACTGACAGCTCAAGCCCCAAACCCAACCCCAATCCAACTATGAACCCAAACTCCAACTGTGACTTGAAACCTTACTCCAGCTCCATGCCAGTCCTAGCGTGGGCCACAGTCAAGACGCTAACATGAACTGAATACGACCTTGAACTGGACTTCAAACCTGTTTCCAACCCAGAACCAAGTCCTGCTTTCAACCATGTCTCCTATAGCAAGCCAAACCCTTAACAGAACTCAAACCTAAACTGAATCCCAAAGCGTAACTTGATCATGAATTCTAAACTCTAAGCCCAAGCACAAATCCAAAGTTAAACTGTGAAGCCGACTGAATCGGTAAACCCTTAAATTAAGCCTCATTCGGAACCTGAGCCCAGGTGTGAACTTGAACCACAATCAAAACCTAAACAGAACTCTGAACCAAAACCCAACTTAATTCCAACCCTAAACCTAGCCATAATCATGGATATTCTCAGTGCAATCAAAAAAATAACCACTGTTAGGGTTCCATTTCTGACTTACAGTGATCTTTCAGGCCAGAGAAGAACTACCCCATAATGGTTTCCAAGGTTGTGACCTAACTAAAAGAAAGCTTCAGCTTACCACAACCATCTTTCTCCATAAGTTAAGACAGTTGAGCTGATCCTATGAATGAGTCCAGGAATAATTACATTCCACAGAATTCCCTTTCCCTCTATGGTTCTGACAATGAGATAAACTCGTGTGAGAATCGCTTCTGTAGACCATGAACTCAGACTCATAATGACCCTAGAGGCCAAAGAAGAACTAGCCTGCCAGGCTTCCAAGGTTATCATCTTTATAGAAGCAGATTGCCACATCTTTCTCCCTTAGAGTGGTTGATGAGTTCAAACCACCAACTTTTAAACACTTAAAACACAGCATCATCAGGTCTCCCTAATGGAAGGAGGCCAATGCTCTCCATAGGTCAGGGCAGTCACACATGAAGATGCTAAGGTGCCTTGAATACCCCAGCTTTTCCTCAATCTCCTTGACTTCATACATAGCTAGTCCTCAGGCTTTTGGATCCTGACCATTGTTTTATTCTTAAGAAGATGGAGCTGTCAGAAACAAAGCTGCTTCTACTGAGTAATAACACTGCAAGTAGAAGTCTAAGGCTGTTAAGTGGAACTGAGTTGGTTCTGACTCATAGCAGCCCTGTATAGGGATTTTGAGGAGTAGCTAGTGGGTTCGAACCACTGACCTTGTGGTTAGCAGTTCAGTGGTAATCCTACAGCACCACACCAGGAAGTCCAGCTATTATGGTAGTTACATCATCCATTTCCATCAAGATGCCCTGAGCAGTGGTGTGGCGCTGTGGGTTAATGTGTCAGATTGCAAAGTTGTTTGAACTGCAAGGTCGGTGGTTCAACCCTATACAGGGTCACTATGGGTCAGAATCGACTCACCGCCACTTTACAACAACCCTGAGCAGCAAGCCGATTCCTTTGTCTCTAGCGAGGCCAGGAAAACAAGCTACCAGCATCTGATACAAGCAACAGCCATCTATTCTGACGGGAACTTCTGGATCATGTTGGTATTTACCCTTGGGACTGAGGGTTTGAAATTGGTGCTCTCTCTTCTTTGTTATAATAACCAAATAAACAGTCGTTTTATTTTCTTCTCTAAGAGTACATAGAAAATGTTGAAACCTGGAGAAGGGAGAATGAAATAGGTAGTTTAAAAATAATTACTCTAGCCTGTAGAAAAAAGCTTTTTAATAACCTGATTTCAGTTACTCAGGGTAAAAGGTCCCACATGACTGGTTATTGGTTTAGTGAATACTTTTTCTCGGATATTTTTTTTTCTGTTTGCTGTAACAAATTGTTCTCTGCTGCTTTGAGCCATCCTTCAGAAACTTAGAACGATTTTTCAGAGTTTTGTTGACTTGAACAGCAATCCCTGGAGTTCTTTTTTGTTTTGTCTAAACCAATGTCTCAGGATGACAGCTCTGGAGGGAGGTTGTATGTGGTCATTTCTAAATCTTTCCATTTCAGCATGGCCTACATCTATTGTTCTTTATTCACTTGCGTCTTTTGATTTCAAAGAAATCACAGCCTGACACTGTGCTATAGATCTCTATTGAAAGGTTTCAGGTTATACTTTTTAGTGTATTTTCAGAATAAGTAAAATCATTTTATTCTGAAACTATGACCAAATGTCATCAGAACATATTGGATTCCAGGAAGAACTTTTGAACATGCAAATCACTGTATTATTCTGAAATTTTATTATGTCTTCAGTTTGTGCATTACTTAAAACCAAAAAATGTGCTTTCCAAAGCATTCTTATACATAAATAGAACAAGAAACAGTTAAGTAATTACTTTCTAAAACATGCATATCCATTTTACTCAGGTGTGTATAAGAAAGGGAAATAAACTTGAAGGCTTTTTCTATGGATTAAAGACATGTGAAATTATTCACGAGTGCCAAAGACTTTCCCAAAACAACTCAAATGTGTTAGTGCTGCTAAGGGGGCTCAGGAAAATGTGCTCAGCATGTTCAACAGGAAAGGAATTCTAGTGGCCCTAAGACATTTTTGAAATAAATGAATCAGGTAGCATGAATTCAGAGGTTTAGATGGAAGGATACGCACCATGAGCCAGGTTATGTGATACATCTATATTCAAGGCACATGACTAGGCTAAACAGCAGCTAGGTTCTAGACATTAATTTGTTCTTTCATTGGGAAAAAGGTCAAATGTAATAAACTTTTCATTTAATGGCACTTACTGATAAATAAACACAAACAGATACAGGACACCAAATGTCTTCCTTTCAAATACACACCAAAAACATATGCATCTAACGGATACGAATGATAGGAGCCTAAGCAGTATGATTATAGACTAGTTTTCTTACGCCGCAGTTAAATGAATGTTATTGAAACTATTTCAGATTGTTCCTATATATCATACTCTTTCCTCTCATGTTTCACAAAAGAATTCTCCAAAAATAGGTCAATTAAAGACCGTCTTACTTTGCTTAAACTATAAGGGGCTTCAAGAAGTTTGTGGGAAAATGGAATAGAAAGATAATGGTGTTTTTCCACAAATGTTTTGAAACCCCCTCATTTTATTCAATAGCAGTCAAGTTACCTATTGAGTTCAGGCTTCTCCTCAAGCGGAAAACCAATTCCCATACTACCTGACTTCATACAGCTAAATGTGAGCACATCTGCTGTGCTTCTCTTTCTTTAGAGAGCCAAAGAAATTTGCCTCCTTACCCCATCTGCTATCCATTCTATGAACGATACAGTTGCCCTAAACAGCTATAGAATAAAAAGGAATATGAGTAAAAAACACAATCTTCAACAATAACTAAACCATAATCTTCCATTATACAACCATTTATTGTATTGCGAATGATCAGCACATTGAACTTTATTCCCAAAAGGAGGACACGGATAATTGTATGTGCTTCTAAATGGGCTAGCAAAATGTTCCCTATCTGACTGAAATAAAATATTTAATACTTTATTACCAGCCTTGGCACCTAGAAACAAGCAGTACCAGTGATCTAATTCCATTTCTCCAAGTACCAACTACTCTCCATTTATACCGTTCGAAGCACCTAAAACTCTTCAATAACAAAAGACATCAAAATGAGATGTTAGCAATACTACATGTCTCCTGAATACGTTTACGTGCACAAACAAATTCCTCTTTAGCTTTAGAAGACAGCTCATAAGACTGGTTGTTTTCACCTTGTTGATAATTCTGTACAATTAAAAACAAAAATGTTTCTGTAAGTAGACAAACCAAAGAAAGAAACAAAAGCCTTTTTAAGGCTCCTTCTACAATGACGGTTCAATCTGAAGTGCACTGGGATAAACTGGCTGATGGGATACAGAGAAATCTGGAGGCATAGAACAGATAAAAACAATTAAGAAGTGAGAAGAGGGCTGAAGATACTGACAGATCCACCTGCCAGCAGCGAATGGCTTGAGTCAATGGGTGACTTTTAACTCCTTGTTCTCGCCTGTTCTGGGTTAATAACTTTTTCTTTATTTTTTCACACAGGTTGGCCATGTAAATCCACCACAGGCAAGAGACACAATGACATAGATGAAAACCTGGAAGGAGGGAGGAGGCAGAAGAGAGAGTATGTGAACAACTCTAATTGACACATCACTAACACTCATAACGATTACCCATTACCACTAGGTTCCTTCAAACTATGACTTTACTGCTAACTGGTTGGAAGGGACTTTTTTCCTAAATGTTTTATTGTGAATTATGTGATAGCTCTGGTAGCATAGTGGTTACGAATCGGGCTGCGAACCTCAAGGTCAGCAGTTTGAAACTACCAGCTGTTCCGCGGGAGAAAGATGAGGGGCTTTCTGCTCCCGTAAAGATTTACAGCCTCGGAAACCCTGTGCAGGGTCGCTATGAGTTGGAACCGACTCCACGGCACATAACCACCACCACGTGATACTTTACATGGGAGGACGTTAGCTTCACATTGATCCCGTCATATATCGTTTCCTTGCCATGGTTACAATCCCTTCCATACATCATCCATCAACCAAAGGGTATGCCCTGTAAGCCTGCCCCCCGGTCGTCAGTACACAGCCCCTCTCCCTTTTTGGGTCTAAAGTCCCCAGCTGCTCCATCTCTCCACGTCATCATCTCTGCCTCCATCTCTCACGTCACTGCTTCTCTGGGTAGGGTCCCGCTCTCCATTCTTCTCCATTCATGGTCCAGGGACCTCCACTCCTAGACTGCAAAGTCAATCACTCCCCTCCTTGCTACAAAACGTCTACCTTTACATTTCCAATCCTCACAATCAGTCCTGATAACAATGATTCACTATTGTATCACAAGAGACCTATCCACATTTCCTTTCATCAGCCCTGCCTAGACAGACTGGATACTACTCAGTGGAAATTCTACCTTCCTCCATGCCCTCTGGATCTAGGTTCCCTCTTGAAAGCCAGTCACTTCTTGCCTCTGTAGCCCCCCATTCTGGGTAGCCAATGTCCAAGTTGCCCATCTGAAGGGGACATTTTATATGTAGCTCAATTTGTCATTATTAGAGGTATGACTCGGGACTCTGCATGTGTGCTATATATAAGCAGGAATTTCAGTGGCTGATGCAACAATAATTATGTTTACCAAAATCAAAGAAAAACTGATGATGCTGGTTCTATTATAGTGTGGCTGCTTTTTCAATTCTAGTATTGCAGTTGTTGTTGTTGTTGGGAAGTACTGTCGAGTCGGTTCTGACTCATAGCGACCCTGTACAGGGTTTCCAAGGAGCGGCTGGTGAGTTGAAAACACCGACCTTGAGGTTCAAACCGACATTGCGGTCCAGTGCTTCATCCTACAGTGCCACACCAGGACTCCTCAAATTATAATTGTAGACTGCAAAGTTGTAAATAGTATATACTTGCTCACATTATTTCATTCAAGCATTAAACATTTTAATCATTAAACATTCATCTGAGGTAGTGAATATTAGGTTCACATGTGCTAAAATAAAATTTTGTCATTTTCTTTTAGCTTAAACTACAATTTTTGGGGAATAAAAAAAAAAAAAAAAGTACCTGATACCCTAGGGAAAAATATAGTTAATAAATTTCATGCCCCTCCTCCAAAAGTAGGCAAAGTGTTTTGTCTTACTTCCCTACAAATGTTGAGGATGGGTTATTTACACAAAAATCTGGGTATGAATGTATAGGTTATATTACTCATAGCTCACACACAAAGATCTTCAACTAACTTACAGCTTATCAATGTGATAAAAAGTTGACTAATGTACATCGAAAATTTAAAAGAATTTTTCAAGCTGAACAGCAGATATATTGGCAAAGATTGATACTGCATTTAGAGCAGTGCTCATCATATAATAAGTAATCCACAAATAAACTCTGAATTTAACAGAACTCTAGCTTCCCAAAGAGCCTCGAATGTGTCATCTACGATCCTGAGCAAGGGTGTCTTCTGCCTGTTACAAAGAGGATGGGAAGAAAAGGTAGCTTGACCCAGCCATACACACTTACAATTGATACAATGATGATGATAACAGTGAGCTTCAGATTCTTCATACACATGGCTCGGGCAAGATTTCTGCTGGTTGTTTTGAAGGTGACAGACTAGGGGGGAGAAAAAAAAATGAATGAATTGCTTAATCCCTGGCAACACTCCTTTGTTGCTCAGTAATTTCACTCCTAGGTATATCTACCCGAAATGTATATACCAATTCACCAAAAGACATATACAAAAATGTTTCTCACAGAACTATTCACCATACCTTAAAACTAAAAACTATATAAATATGCATCAACTGTATTCACTAAAATGGAATACTAAATAGCACTGAGAATTAACACTCTGCCACTACACACAACAATGCAGAAGAATCTCAGAAACATAATTGTGAGCAAAAGAAGGTAGACACAAACCGAGTACTTATTTTTAGAACCCGGTGGGAGAAGTCAGTCTAGTGATAATCCTTATAGGCGATCAGTGACTAGAGGAGGGGAGTATTGGTCATGTTCTGGGGTACTGGTCATGTTCTGATTTTAATATGAGTGTTGGGTCCATGGACAGTGTTATGCATCAACTTGACTAGGCTATGATTCTCTGTTTTGCAGACATTCACCTCCATGCTGTGATTTGATGTGATCAGTCAATCAATTGACCATGGAGTTTTCTTGAGGGTGTGGCCTGCCTCCAGCATAGAAATCTCCCTCTCTTAACACTGCACTCTTTGTACTGACCTGACTTCCAGATCTTGGGATAGAAGCCTGCAGAATTCTCTGGCTTGCAGCATGACCTGCAGATTTTGGATTTTCCAACCACTGTAACCATTTGAGTCAGCAGAGGTCTTAAGGCTGCCTCTAACCCACAGATTTGGGACTTACCAGATCCCACAACTGTGTGAGCCATTTCCTTGAAGTAAATTTCTCTAATTAAACGTATACATATACATTACTGGGTCTATTCCTCAGAAGAACACAGAATAAGATAGGCATGTTCACTTTGTTAAAATACATAAAGCTATATACACTTTCTATATGTATATTCTACGGCACTGTAGGGTAAGCACTAGACCACAAGGTCAGTTTGAACCACAAGGTCGGCGGTTCAAACCCACCCGCTGCTCCTCGGAAACCCTATACAGGGTTGCTATGAGTCGGAACTGACTAGATGGAACTTAACATACACTTGTGGTGGATGGCTTTTTCTATATGCATATTCTATCTAACTAAATTATTTAAAAACAAACCAAACCAAAAAACAACCCCTTAAGTATATTCATCTCCAGCTACCACCTTCACAAGTACATTCAATGGAGTCATTGTTGGTGTTAATTGTTCTTGCATCAGTTCAAACTCATAGCGACCCTGTATAGGGTTTCCAAGGAACAGCTGGTGGGTTTGACCTGCCAACCTCGTGGTTAGCAGTCCAGTGCTTATCCTACAGTGCCACACCAGGACTCTTGAAAGGAAGTCTGACCCCAGGGTTTTCACTTGATGCAGACCACCAAGATACTACGTGAAAGTGGGGATAAAGGTATTACTTAACAAAGAAAAAATTGAACATGAATCTAACTGCTATGTGAGTATACACTAAATACTCAAATTGACTACAATCTAGCCCTAAATACACACTTTGAATAAGTCACATGAGTTAACATGAAAAGGAAAAATTAAGAATAGAGCACAGTATTCCACAAAATATTTTTTTAAAACTTACTAGCATACTTTAAAAAAATCTACAAATAGCACATAACTATATATGTTATTTTATATACTGTTTATAGATAAAGCATAAATAGCTGCAAGTAGATTCTGTGGGAACAGCTTGAAAATTTTCCTAGAAAACAGACCGTAAATTCTAAGATGGAGATTATGAAAGAACCCTAAGCTACATGGCAAACTGAGCAAGCAAATCCAGGATTGATTTATACAGCCAACAACTAACCAATAAATATTTAACAAGTGTCTACTATGTACCTGGGGAGTGTAGGCTCCATAAGATATGCACTGGATTGCGAACCACAAGAGGAGACAGATGAGGCGTTCTGCTCCCGCAAAGATTTACAGTCTCAGAAACCCTATAAAAGGTTGCTATGAGTCGAAACCGACTCAGCAGCACTTAACAGCAACTATGGAGCTGGTGCTGATTCATCATATACTAGCAATGAGAGCTCTGGTAGCATAGTGGTTACAAATCAGACTGCAAACCGCAAGGTCAACGGTTTGAAACTACCAGCAGTTCCGCAAGAGAAAGATGAAGCTTTCTGCTTCCATAAAGATTTACAGCCTCGGAAACCTTATACAGGGCCGCTATTAGTTGGAACCTACTCCATGGCACACCCACCACCACCAGAAGTTGGAGGGCAGAATACAATCAAAACAGAAGAATTAAGAATCAAATCAATATTTGAACACTGAAAAATCACCTGTTCATACCAATTAGACTATAAATGTTATGTTGCTATGTGCCATGGAGTTGGTTCCGACTCATAGCGACCCTGTACAGGGCTTCCGAGGCTGTAAATCTTTATGGAAGCAGAAAGCCTCATCTTTCTCCCGCGGAGCAGCTGGTAGTTTCGAACCGCTGACCTTGCGGTTTGCAGCCCGATTCGTAAACACTATGCTACCAGAGCTCCTAGACTATAAATAACAACTATTAAACCTTCACAAAGCATTCCCTGGGGCTGTGCGGTGTGTGGTGGTGGTGGTGGTGATACTGGGTGGAGGGGGAGAAAAAAGGGGGCAGGAAACAAGAAAACAATGTATCTTTGAAATTCCTGTGAGAATGTCAAAGGCAAGTTGTTCAGGCTGACTTCACCTTCAATCCATGTTCCTGTAGGGAGCCCCAGGGGATCTGTGAGTCTATTACTTCCATAGTGGAATAAATGGTGGCCTCCAAATTATGTCCTTGTCCTCATTCCTGGAACTTGTGAATGTGAACTTATACAGAAAAAGGGTCTTTAAAGATGTGATTAAGGATGTTGCTATAAGGAACTCATTTTGGGTTATGTAGGTGAATGCTAAATGCCATTACAAACATCCTTACAGGAGAGGGATAAAGGGCGATTTCACTACATGCAGAAGATTTGTATGTGAAGGTGATGTGAAGATGGAAGCAGGAATGAGGACAAGGATGATCCCCTAGAGCCTTCAGAGATACCAGGATCCTGCTGACACACTGATTTGGGACTTCTTGTCCCAAGAACTGTGAGGGAATACATTTCTGTTGTTTTAAGTGACCTAGTTTGTGGTAATTTGTTATGGCAGCCACATGATGTGGCTCCAAGTGTGAGGAACTGAATGGTCTCTACTATGTGCAACTATTTAGTTAAGTTCCTAGATCATATTTACCAACCAACACTCATCAGTCAGTTTGTCATACTGTGGTGGCTTGCATGTTGCTGAGATGTTGGAAGCTATGCTACAGATATTTTAAATACCAGCAGGGTCATCCACAGTGGATGGGTTTCAGCTGAGCTTCCAGAAAAAAGACACGACTAGGAAGAAGGTGAGACAGAATACTTCTGAAAACTTTATGAATAACAATGGAATACTGTCAGAAAGCATCAATATTCTGATGACGAGCACCAGAATATTGTCAGATATAGTGGCAGAAGATGATTCCCTCTGGTTGGAAGGCCTCAAAATGCAACCGGGGAAGAGCTGGCTACTCAAAGTAGAGTTGGACTGCGATGATGCAAACGGAGTAAAGTCTTCGGGGCCTTCATTTGATGAAGGGGCACAGCTCAAAATGAAGAGAAACAGCTGTAAACATCCATTAATAATTGGAACATGGGATGTACGAAGTATGAATTTAGGAAAATTGGTAAATGTCAAAAAGGAAATACGATATCCTAGGGATTAATGTGTTGGAATGGACTGGCCATTTTGAATCTGACAATCACATGGTATACTATTCTGGGAATGACAAGTTGAGGAGGGATGACATCACATTCATCATTAAAAAGAACATCAAGATCTGTCTTAAAGTGAAACGCTGTCTGCGGTAGGATATGCCTACAAGGAAGACCAGTTAATATAACTATTATTCATATTCATGCACCAACCACTAAAGCAAGTGATGACAAAATTGAAGAATTATACTAACTTCTTCAGTCTCAAACTGATCAAACTTGAAGTCAAGGTGTATTGTATTGATAACTACTGGCAATTGGAATGCAAAGGTTGGAAACAAAGAGGAAAGATCAGTATTTAGAAAACAAGGCCTTGCTGACAGAAATGATGCTGGAGCTTGCACGATAGAATTTTGCAAAACCAATGACTTCTTCGTTGCAAATACCTTTAAAAAATAACATAAAAGAAAAAAAAATGACATAAAAGATGACTACACAAATGGACCTCAACAGATGGAATATACAGAAATCAAACTGACTACATCTGTGGCAAGAGATGGTGAAAAAGCTCCATATCATTACTTAAAATAAGGCCAGGAACAAACTGTGGAACAGACCATCAATTGCTCATATGCAAGTTTAGGGTGAAGCTGAAGAAAATTGAAACAAGTCCACTAGAGCCAAAATGCAAAACCTTGAACACATCCCACCTGAATTTACAGTTCATCTCAAGAAATATATGATGCATTAGACAGTAAAGAGTTGAACCTGAAGAACATGAAGAATATCATACAGGCAGACAGTATAAGGTCATTAAGAAGACAAGAAAAAAGGAAAAGACCAAAATGGATGTCAGAAAAGACTCTGAAACTTGCTCTCCAGTGCAGAGATGCTACAACAAATGAAAGAAACGAGGAGGTAAAAGTCTGGCCAACTGACTGAAAGAGATCCATATCTGTGATCATTCCAAAGAGATGTGACCTAACAGAATGCGGAAATCATCAAACAACATCATTAATATCACATGCAAGTAAAATTTTGCTTAAGATAATTCAAAAACAGCTACAAACCAACATTGACAGAAAACTGCCAGAGGTTCAAGTCAAATTAAGACTAGGATGTGAAATGAGGGATATCATTGCTGGCATCAGATGGATCTTGGCTGAAAGCAGAGAATACCAGAAAGATTTTTATCTGTGCTTTGTTGACTATGCAAAGGCTTTCAATTGTGTGGCTCACGACAAGCTATGACAGCAT